GTTCGGGAGTAATGGAACAAAATTGGCGGCCGTTCAGTTTTATCTTTAGAGTCTCAGAACGTCGCGTCCTTTCTAGATAATGGAATCATTGTTGGAGCGTGCGACTCCCGGGGCTCCTTTTAATCGTTTACTTAATTCTCTCTTTTGTTTCTTATTCAGGGATCTCTTTCTTGAATTGAGCGCTAATCGTATTTTATATCCGAGATAAAAACTTTATTCGAAGACGAGAACGTTAAACAAATTAGCATTTTGAATTATGTAAGAGATATTTACGCATACGGGAGACTCGCAAAAGATATTTCCACGGCCACAAACAACACGGCTAGCAGCTGAGCTTCCAAATAAAAAGTAATAAAATGAAAAGACTCCGTCGACAAAACGTAGACGCTTACACACGCACAAAAACTCAATGGGAGTTCATTTTTTACTGAGCGAAGTACATTTATAACAGAATAAGGTTGAAAATCGAACATGATCTTAGTTTTTTGAAGGCAAATTGTATTTTGGTAGGTTTATACATATTTACCACAAAAGCGGCTCAGCGAGAGATCGCGGGATCCGTTCGCCGGTTTTATTTTTCCAAGCTCTAAATGGAGTCGGTAGAGCATTTAAATAAGCCTCGACGCCTGAAGTATGGTAATGTTAATAATACTGGGAAAGAAACCGCGCGATGTCGTTCCAACTGACGGCCATTTTGAATTTCTTGTAGACTTTGTCTTCACAGTTCATATAAGTGTAAAATCAAATAAAGGGAATAAATCTTTATGTATGAAAATATTTCTTTCTAGTAAATAGTTAAACACGGATATCAATACCGGTGAGAGAGGCGCTACTGTCGCAGTCAGAAATAAAATCTATGGTCATGTTACGTCCATTTTGCGCTATTTATATTTGAATTACTAACTTAGTATGATTTAATTCTTATACCGTTGGTTTCTGAGCCAAAAATCTCAGTATTAAAAATATCGACATCTCTGTAATTATCTTTGACAAAACAGAGATAACAATATATTTTAAACGTGGATTTTGGATTCAGAAATCCACGAATAGTTACATTATAAATAAGCTATTACGATAATGTTCAAATAAATCTTACTAATATTATAAATGCGAACGTTTTGATATATGGATGGATAGATTGTTCGTTTAAAGATATATCCAGATATCGCTGAAATTTGTCATAGATTTAGAACATAGTCAGGAGGTACAGATAGCAGACGGGGCCGCGGAGGAGAGCGAAAGCGTGCCCGTGGTCCCGTCCCGATGCGTTGGAGGAATAGAGAGGTTTAGTGGGTATGCCTCCGCTATGGAGGAGAATCCCACATAACTACCGCGTCCCCCCCGGGGTGCGGAGTATGCATAAAGCATTCCCCTCTGAAAAGAAAAAAAAAAGGAGGTACACATAGGCTACTTATGAAGCTTTTTTTTTAATTCCGCGTGAATGGAGTCGCGGGCGATCGCTCGTTATGCAATAACTAAAATAGTAAAACTTTTAATTGGTGTCATTCTATTGCTTAGTAATAAAATATAAGAAAAATGTCACCATATGGTATACAAAAGGAAGCCGATAGTTTTTGCTTAATAATTAGTTACAAATTATGAATGAGAAAAAAAAGTTGTCTACTGTGCGGCAAGTTCTATCGGTGTGAGGTATGGCTACGCATGACCACAAACAACGTGACGAGAAATATTCCTGGTCTTAAAGAATTTTAATAGTTTGATTTTTTTTTTCATTTCTTTTCAAAGAACAAAGGCAACGCAATTAAATGTCAAAAGTAATCAAAGAAGTTGAATTCGTAAATTATTTTGTAATTCTCTACTAAATTTTTAGAACTGCAATCTAATAAAACTTCTAAACCAACTTATTATTACTATTTACCTTAATATAAGTATGTAAAAATTTCTTAACCAAGTTTTTTTTAATTAGGTAATGCAACAAAATGCACCAGCACAGTAAAAAGTATAAAAATAACATAGGTATATATTTTTAATAAAGGAATAGCTTGTTACACTAAATACTCTTAAAAATTTATTTATCGCACCGCTAGTGGCCCGTGAAGAGCGTTCCATCCCACACCCACTTAATTAGCTTCCGTAAGCTGTAAATCTAACGCTCTGCGCCGACATCAACGCTATGCTCTTTGATCGCGCTGCAAGTGAAACGGAACGTAGCAGCGAACGAACCAAATGACGTTCCGTTTTTGAACGCAGCGTTTAATGTCAAATGTGGCGGCAATCGGACCGGTTAGCGTTAATTACTTCATTATGGAACAGTTGGTTGTGATACGAAATTGTTTAAATTATTAAATACGTTCCAAAGGACATAAGCCTAATTTAAGAATTTATAATGCGAGGGAGGTCTGAACCAGCAATAGACGAATTGCATAATTCACGGTAAAACTCGTAAATTCCAAAATATCAAAAATAAAACATTTTTTTTCATAAAAATTTAGTAATTTCGACATTGAATTGGCATTACATGTACTTAACAAGAAATTACGTTTAATTAGTCAATTCAACATCCGTATTCATGAGTATACTGTAATTGAACATCGCATTTTAGATCTGAAGCAAATCAGAGCGTTCCGTTATATCGCAATTGTAAAGTATAATCCCATTGGATTGATCGCATTGAACCAAACATTAGACCACTACTATGTTATTAACTCGAATGTATTTCTCGAAATTACAACTGACGGTATTAAGGCGAAGATAGTTCAAACGAGCTCTTCCTTTCTTCTTCCAGTGCCTCTTTAGTCTTGAAGGTTGGTCGCTAACTTGGAATATTTGTCTTCCTTTGTCTTATTATACAAAAACTAGCTGCGGCCCGCGACTCCGTCCGCGGAGGATTAAAAATAGATGTAGGCCGGTTCTCAGACCTCCTCAATATGCTCACAAAATTTCATGAGAATCTGTCAAGTCGTTTCGGAGGAGTATGGGAACGAAAATTGTGACAAGAGAATTTTAATTAATTCTTAATAACAAAAGAAATCGCATTCAAAGCTAATAAAATATATGTAATTTGTCATAAATATGGTAGTAATCCATGTTTCCTCTTGCTATTGCTTCCTTAGTTAACACACCTCAATGCTAATACGAATTTTAGTGTTCCGTACCTAAAAAAAACCGAACCCTTATAGGATCACGCTGTTGTCTTTCCGTCTATCTGTCAAGAGCCTTTTTCTTAGACACGCGTGGAGATATTAAGCTGGAATTTATATCAAATACTTAGGTCTACTATCCTTTGGAACTGTGAAAAAATCCAACTTCTAAATCAACGCAATAAAAAGATATAGGCGTTTATGTTGCAAATACCTAAAGATTTGTATGGAATACTCGGTGCGCGAGTCCGACTTGTACTTGGTCGGTCGGAGTCAGTGGGATAGAATGTGTTGGAGAATCCACAATAAAGACAACTGCATACTTGAAACCTGTATAAACTATTACATAATTAAAGTGTCTTTGATTTGTATTTGATTCAATGGTAAAGCGTGGCGTAACTAATTAGTAAGGTTATAGCACGCGGGCGCGCTGTAATCGTTCTATCATATCAGTCGGCCAGAAACAATCAATTAGAAAACGATCCCCATTCAATTATTTCCCGAGTCCCGATATCCCGGTAGCCCGCTATCGGTGCGTAATTGCTTCGCACAGACCTAGGGGCGGATTGAATGTTATTACGTATTGCATTGGTAATTAGACGACTAATGTCTATTGCTATTGTGCATAGTCGATTCATACAGGGTAAAGGATTGAAAATAACTAACGATATAAGCAAACATACGTCGGATTAAATTGAAAAGTTCTAAATCAGTGGTTCCCAAACTTATTTTGTCTACTGCCCACTTTGAGAATAAATATTTTTTTAGCGCCCCCATATTTTCACATATTTAAAAACCACTATAACTTCAAATTAAATTAATTTATTTTTGTGACCTGTGTATATTAACGGAGAATTCTAAGCCGCCCAGGCCTCTACACAACGCCCCCATTTTCTTTCTGGGTCTCTTCAGTATAAGTATTATTAATTAGAATCCTTTGGCGCGAATGTGCTTTCGTTACAAAGTCCAATGTCAGAATGTAGATTGAGGGGACTTAAACGTCGATATTTTAGTAAGGCTAGTGTTGCGTCAATACAGTGGCAAATTTTCGGATTTTCTTCCTAATAGTTTGACGATATTGACAACGTAACAAGAAACATTAATTTGACTAGACTCTAAAATATGTCTGGTATAAAATATTTCTATTGCTATGACAATACGTATTACATTCCATCAAGTCTCGTCACCTGAGTCGTGGACAGGCGTGATGGATGACCGCCATTGTGTTGTGTTGGCTATTCTCAATTCCAACGCTTTGTATCTACTATTGCGTAATAAATAGGGGAATAATCATTACATAAAGATTACATTATGAAGACCCTTTTTTGGTTTGTTTTAAATCCTACATAACTTGAAAAAAACGTGCTGTATCTATATATATATAAAAATCAATTATTGTTCGTTAGTCTCGCTAAACTTCGTGAACGGCTGAATGGATTTATCTTATCTTGGTCATGAAATGTTCGTGGAGGTTTAGGGAAGGTTTAAATGGTGAGAAAAAATCGAATAATGCCGGGAAAACCCTAAAAACAGTCCTTTTCTTTTTCCCATATAAATAGCTGAATGGATCTCGCTGAAACTTGGCATAGATGTAGAACATAGTCTGGAAGAATACATAAGCTAATAACTATGGTTTTTTTTTAATCACGCGCGGACGGAGTCGCGGGCGACGGCTAGTAAGTCTATAAAAAATTCGATGACGAAAATATTCCCTAAAAAATAGACCTTTAATATAGATTTAGACTGACAAAACTACACTAAGCACTATTTAAGTTATCATTAAAATGCTTTAAAATGAAGGCTTATTCATATTATAATTTTACTTCTACACATAAAACCTTTTTACCGTAAAAAAAAGAATAAATCTGTCATTTATTCTGTCAAATAAATAGATAAAAATATTTCAGTGTCAGTGATAAATCTCTGTTTAGGCCACAAAAATGTATAACATCCAGAATACTGAATTTTAATTGTAGACTAGATAGAATGATAGACAAGGATCCTCCAGGAAATGTACACTGCGGTGATATTAAGCATCGGCTTGGTTATTATATTGGCTCTACTCTTCTATAAGCGGTCATGGAAAGAGGTTCGATATATCACATTCAATCGTCTTCACCATCATCCTCTGTCTTCTATAACTTATTACTAATGTTATAAATGCGAATGTTTAGATGGATGTTTGAAGGTGTCTCCAGAACGTCTGGATGGATCTTGATGAATTTGGCATACATGTATAACATAGTCTGGAAGAACACATAGACTACTATGTTTTTTACTTTCACGCGGTCAGAGTCGCGGGCGACAGCTAGTTCTACATAATGTTAAGCTTAACAACGTTGTATATTTTCCTTATAACACTTTAATATTGTAGCCTTAAACATTAAATTAAGCAATATTAAATTGCTTTTATGTGTTTCCAACTGTTAACAATGATCATCATTTTATTGAACTTAGTAATTAGCCTAGACCAATCTTTCCCAAAGACGGCGATAACGCCCCCTTGTGAGCGCTGCAGGTCTCAAGGGTAAGAGACCCAGAAAGAAAATGGGGGAGTTGTGTAGAGGTCTGGAGGGTGATTTGTAATTTTATTTAGCTAGGAGGCCTCTGAGACAACGACTGCATGAGCTCTCGACTCTCAACAACAACTTGTGAACATCAACTATTATGAATTAAAAGATTGCTTAAACTCTAATATGGCGGCGCTAAAAATTATTTATTCTCAAAGTGGGCAGTAGAAAAAATAAGTTTGGGAACCACTGGTCTAGATCAGCATATAAACACTAGTATAGATAGTCATATAAACACTTAAAAAAAAGCCTGTGTGTGCAGAAATATTATAACTCGGTAGAACCAAGTCCTAGTCGTCTAGGAATAGAACTCAAATTCAATAGACTAGTAAAAATTATGTAGTCAAATCTAAGCCAAAGGTTACTTGTCCTAGGAGTGCCCGCGTACGCACGTAGAGCCGACCTACACACCTAGTGCGCCAGTGCAATTAGTGCACCGGCTGTGCCCTCATCACAACGTGGTGCAGCGCTTCGCCGTCGAACAGAAGGACAGCCTCGACGATCATCTAGATGCGCTCACTCGGAAACTTGCTGAGAAGGTAAGAGAGATATTGAAGAGAACGCATGTTTTTGGAGTATAGTAGGAGAATCAAAAAGGTTATCTTCTTGCGGTGATACGGTGGCAAATCTAAAAGCGACCATTTGAATTAACATTAAAAGGTTGCATATGGATTGCCTAACATTTTTTTAAACGTAGGGAAATGCCTAATACATAACTTATCTGTCTAGAGAAGGAAGATGGTTTATGTATTGCCGACGTAAAAATCTATGTTAAGAACTTAATGCATCTCTTACGTTGGACATTTTTGTAATTGTTAAACACATTATAAAGTCATATATCAAGACATTAAAATGGTCAAATGAACAGATAAAATAATCCTCCAATAAATACAATTGAATTAGTTTTTATGCAGATAAGAAATAACGCTTAGAGAATTTGACTGATCGTATGTCACCAGGAGGGCAAACTGCGGATCTCCAAATCGAAGATCCGCGAGACCCAAAACGAGATCGACAACCTGCACGCAATAGACCATCACGTGCGTCAGAAGTATCGCGACGTCATGGAATCTCTCCGCTCCGACTTGCTCAATAATGAGACAGAATGCAAGCGGATACAGGATCAGATCGAGTGGGTCTCGCACAGGAGGGCCGAGCTACACGATGAGGTTAAGTTCAAAAAACATAATTCCAAATAATTATACACCTAATTCACTAACCTCTATACATCTTACTAGTATTATAAATGCGAATGTTTGGATCATTCATTATAAGCCTTAGGTTGATTCGATTGTCAGCATACAGTCATAGACTAAATCATATTTATGGTGCATATTGGGGTAGACACGCTAGTCATGACCATCTATAAGGCTCTTGCTACACAAGGCAATGTACATCGCCGAAACTAATGTTGTACGGTTGCGTCGCGAGTACGTATTGCGTTTCGTACACACGTTGAATCGACGCGAGTCTTTTCAGTGAGTGAAGGCATAGCGAGTACATGATGAATTGTATAGATTTACTCCGCCATCTTGAAAATTGAAGCGATTTTTCACGACGTTCTTGACGAATAGGTTGCAAGCGACTGACTTTGGCGACATTTCTGTCGCTAATGTCCGTTGTATACGAACCTTTAAAACATTGTATTGTTTAAGTCGTGCGTTGCTTTGTGTCTCTGTCTCTCTGTCTGACTGTATCTGTAGCTACTAGACGTGTTAGAGATTTTTAGGTTCGACGAGGTCAAAAGCTCTACGGAGAAGCTACGCTCAAATTAGCAAACAACTTGGCGAGTCTTCAGAAGATGCGAGAGCTAAAAGTGACCGATAAGCCGTTTACAAGGGGATCTAATGAGTCCCTCATCCAGAGAAAGGAGGTGCACATCCCTAACGCGTGCTCTGTCGCTTCGACTATGATGAAATCAAATCCATCGACTCCTGAACCCTTTCCTCATTTCAATATGTAACTCCGACACCTAAAAATTAATGTTTTGAATTGGAATTAATATTTTTGTATCAAATTTTTTATTTATATTTTTCTATTTTTATTTATAAAACTAATAAAAGGATATTTTTAACTGCTGGGTTTTATTTATAGAGCTATCCTAAAATAGTTAATTACGCTATTGTTAACACTTAAGTCTATAGATAGGAATTTATTTCTCTATTCTTTTGGATCTGTATCCTATAAAGATAGCATAATAATAAAATTAATGTGATGTTTTTTTTGTCAGCTCTACACAAAGCGAAAGCTTACCTAAATAATTAGCTGGCCACGTTAATATTCGAAACGTATCCGAAGAGAGACAACAACCGCAGTCCCCCCTTTTATATCTCGTTAATTCGGAGGGTTAAAATCTCCGAAAAAGTGAGCACTTGCCTTGTTTACAAGGTTTTAGATTTTAATTTAGATTGGGGTCGGAGTACGTTTCGCGCGCAAAATGACGTAAACGTCAACTGACAAGGTTAGAGAATTGGGTTCTTTTACGAGGGCGTTTCGGTCGCTGGGTGTTTTATGAGGGGAACGTTGAACGTATCCATTAAGATCGCATTCGTATGTGATCACCTAATACAATATCATCAAGTCCCCGCCAGGGGGCGCTTTGTGAATAATTTCGCGGCAATCTGGCTCGCATTTGCGACGGGGTTTTGATGATTTTAATTTAATAATTATATTGTGCAAATGTAACATAGTCTTTATACTTCGTGTATTCCAAAATAAAATAAAATATTGTATAAATACGTATATTTTTTGGGCGAAAAAATACCATAAAGTAACTTATAAAGTAAAGAATTTTGTTTAAATAAAAATAATTTTTAACGGTTTTTAAGAGCCAAAATAAGCAAAAAAATCAATACAGATTGTTATAAGTTGGTTGAAAACATAAATCGGTATTTTTATGCAATAAATTTAAAAGAAAACAATATAAAAAAAAACGCAAGGTAATCAATTAACAAGGACATTACTTACCCTATTGACATACAAGCTTGTTTGTCCAAGCAATCTAACAGCCACTCGGGCCCCCGGCGAAACAAACAAGCGCAAAGAAAAACAAACAAACGAACAAAACTCTATTTAATTTGTTTGCACAGAACAGATGTGATTGTGGTCCTGTCTACGAATTGACTGATGGCTACTTAATTTAAAGAGATAAAGCGAGAGACAGAGAAAGAGAGAGAACATAATCTTACTAATAATATAAATACGAAAGTTTAGATGGATGGATGTTTGTTTCAAGGTATCTCCGGAACAGCTCAACGAATGTTTATGAAATTTGGTATACATGTAGAACATACTTTGAAAGAACTTAATTACGGGCGGACGGGGTCGCGGGCAATATTTGTTTCGTACAAAATTGATGTCTAATATAAAACGATTCTAATCCTGAAGACGACAGCTTCAATAATTTTAATTACCAAAGTCAAAGGGTGGAAGTTAACAAGCCATAAAAATTAGATCCAGCAAACGATTTCCATTAGCACTGAATAAACTCTTAAGTAATTAAGATTTCGTTTATGAAGTCTATTTAATTAGTATTTTGGGATAGTTATTGACTAAATAAAATTGTTCAAACTTTCGTGAAACGTTATAATAAACTTATATAAAATCAGCTAAAACACTCACGTATATTCGTAAAATGTTTTAGCCGTTTTTAAATAAGCTTAAAATAAATTGCTTCACTATTATAATAATACGACTTCATGCTGGAACATTGATAAATTATAACTTAATAGTATTACGATTCTTGATATTTTATTATCTTTATATTTGTCAAATATTCCCGCCATATTCTTCATTAGGGAAAACGAAAGTTCATAAATCTGTGTATAGTGAGAGAAGCAACTATAATTTAAATTAAAACTTTTGCCCTTCATTTTATTTCTTAAAAAATTTACTTGTGAATATCATTGAGACGAAAATAAAATATGAAACAAGAAAAGTTTTCAAACATAAAATAAAAAGGCGGCAAACAGCGAGGGGGCGCCACTCGCCTCCACTAATGACAGCGACACACCGCCGCACGGAATCGTGGGTGGACTTTTGACGTTTCTTTTTTTTATTAACTTTTTAATTTGTTTGAAAACTACATCTGACAGCTAACCTAAAAATGCTCGTTATAATAGGAATGTATAACGCAATAAATTTAAAACTGATAGTAGCAGTTTTAAATTTATTAATATAGAATTTAAATATTACATTCAAATAAATATTGTAATGAAATTAAATTGTCGTATAGAATTAAAAGTATTTTGTCATCTTAAATTGTTTTATTATAAAAACAGTATAAACCTGCGGAGACAGAACGGAGTAAATAAAATAAAAATGTAAATAGCACCCTCCCAAGTTCAGTCATGCTCACGCCATGTTGCGTGGACCGCCGCCGACAGCGCATCTCAAACTTTGCAATACAACATTCATCTTCGCACAAACTTATAACAAAAAATTATAACTCCCTCGCTAATTTAAAACAAACGTTCGTTACGGTTTCTGTTTACGTCTTCACCAATTATTGTGTGCTTTTGCAAGGAAACGTAATTCTTCGAAAGATATATCTTTTCGTAAAATTAAATGGTTTTGTAACGATGTGTTTTAAAAGAAAAGCAAACTGTTCGTTTAATATATTATTCAATAAAAGGTTGACACAAAAAGATTTCAGTTTAAATGTATACTATAATATATGTAAAAGAAATTGTTATAAATTTCGAGACAGTAACAAAGATTGAGAATCACTCAATTTTTCCCCACTCGTAATAAGCGCATTAAGGGTGGAAAAATTTAAACTCTCCGCTTCCCGAAACTTTTCGCGTTTTCTTTTTACATTAAGGACAAAGAAAAAGAAAAAAAGATCGCCCACTTAGAAGGGTGGCACAACTTTTAATATCCCTTGCTGAAACTAGCCGACAATGGAAAATGCAATATTCGTCCTAGTAACTTATTGCCAAGGTTTGTTTTCCTTTAATAAAATATTATAGGAAAATGAAAACAAGAGATGGTACATTTTAATATAAGCGCGCTATATATGTGAGCCGCTTAGCGAATTAAAAAAAAAACTGACGGGAATCGTTCGCTGGGGAGTGTTTTACGCTCGCGTCTCTTATTGCTATGTATTTCTTACAGGCGCTCAGGCGTAATGTATTTAAAATATGTAGAGGAAACAAATGCTTTACCATAAGATCTTTTTTAATATTTTTAAGACAGTGTTATATTTCTTAAATATTTTATAAAAGAATAGAATTCTTGTACATTACCTTATATTGAGATTTAATTTTAAACTTTTCCTTGTTTTCAAATTTTAATTTTACTTTCACATCACTTCACCACAAACTTACTACGCATTATAAAAAGTTGTTAGGTTCAAGCATTAATAAATCTATTTAAAAATGTACCGCGACAAAAAAAGAAATAAAAAAATCAAAACGGCACTCTTTATTTTATACCAAAATCACCGTCAACTTTCACATTTAACTTCGTAACTAATTTTGAAATACCCACTCTTGTAATAATTAATTCTATTCAAAATACACAGATAACAAATACCATAGACAAAAAATAATACAGATAAAATATAAACTAATGGTGGCCAAGTTGATTAAATCCGAGATCTACTGTTTACAGACGAATATATAATTATAACATAATTTATTTAGTCCAAGTTTTAAACAATCTTACTAATATTATATAATGTTTGTATGGATGGATGTTTGTTAGAAGGTATGTTAAGAACGGCTGCTTGGATCTTGCTGACATTTGGCATAGATGTAGAACATAGTCTGGATGAACCATAGACTACATTTTTTTTTAATTTCACCCGGATGACAGCTAGTATTTTAAAAAACGAATGTTTTATAAAAGTTTTACTGCGTTATTTCACGATTAAAGGTATTGGGTTTGAAAATAAAACAACAAGAAAGATTGAAAAAACGATTTATTTCTTCTACAACTATTAACAAATTACACACTAAATATTAAGCGTAATAATTATCAACATAATTTAATTTTATAGTAAAAAATATTCTTCAATATTACTAAATGTTACATCATACAAATTATATTTCAAATCGCTTACTAACAAAACTACTAAAATTTTATTAGAAGCTAACAATATTTAATAATAGATTATTTATGAGGTTTTGTATGTAGTTTTCACTGCAAAAACACGTACAAAAACAGGATTTTTTCAATAACAAAGAGATGTATGTTTTTATAACTTGTTTCTGCAATGAAAACTCATGATTATATTTAACTAACAATACTTATTTGAGGTTTTATTTTAGTATTACATGTTTAGTAATTACTGTTCTTTGCTGTCATCGTCTTCCATTGAAAAGTCTGTGTCCAGAATCACCTGAAATAAAAAAATGACATTGACTAGATATTTTTCCGTATCTTGTCTACTTTCAAGAGAAAATTATATAAACATTCTAATATTATAATTGCGAATGTTCGGATGGATGTTTGTTACAAGATATCTCCGGAGCAACTCATCGGATCTCGTTGAAATTTGACCTAGATGTAGAACATAGTATAGAAGAACACATAGACTACTAATTGTCTTTTCTTAATTCCATGCGGACGAAGTCGCGGGCGATCGCTAGTGTTCATAGTAAATGAAAGTTTTTATGTATTCTTTTGCTTTTTTTACCTTTGAATGGGGTAAATTTTTAGACCAAGGATGGGATAAAGAATTTCCTAAGATTTGGACTCCACCTTCTTTACCCTACATAGAGATGGGGAAAAGACTATCCCTTTTCTATTCCTTATAATAAGATCAATACTAACAGCTCTCATGTCGGCCACGGCTCTGTTTGTTTCCTTATCGCTGTCCTCGTCCTGATCTTGATCCTGCTCCTCCACCACTTCCATTTCCCTGTCCTGGTCACCTTCACCATCTTCTGTTGGTTTCGTTCAGTTTATTAGTCAATATTACAAAAAATTGTCTTTTAAACTACTTATATATGTTTCAATTAACGTTTCACGATTTAATCTAACAAAAACTGGTAGAAAAGGGCAATTTTTTATTTCCAATGTCAGTGATTCTCAAAGGGGTCCCCTTTTTAATTTAGGCCTTCAGAATCATGGAAACCAGAAAAATTAAGGAGTCCATTAAAAAGAAAGTCTTCTAATATGTAACATGTAGTATTTTTTTTTTATAACAGAAGGGGGCAAACGAGCAGCGGGAACACCGAGGTGTTCAACGATGCCCATGGACATCAGCAATACCAGAGGAACCGCAGATGCGTTGCCGGCCTTTGAGGTGGTGATAGGCTCGCTTCTTGAAGGACCCTAAGTCGTAGCGGTTTGGAAATACCGCCGAGGACAGACCAACTACCAACAGTATAGTTCTTTTCAAATATTTCGGCTGCCCAAGGTCGTCACTACGCAGTTACGGGCAACCAAAGTACCTTCAATTAAAAGTAGGCATTGCTTCACAGTATCATTGAACTCGGATGTCAGCTCATAAGCTACCATCCACTGTGTAATCTTACCGTCAGGCTGTGCTTTGATGAGCTGCAGCTTCCCATCAACAATCTGCCCGGATATAACACCTGATAGATTATTGATGTTTAATTGCTGGCGTATCTTCTTTGCCTCTTGTTCCAATTGTTGTTGTATGTATAATTCTTTATGATGTACTTTGTTGTGATACTTGAGGTGATGCGCTTTGGTGAACTTCTTATTGCAAGGTGTGCAACTGGAAAATTATCAGTCATGCTTGAATTAATTACAAATAATCTTACAAATATTATAAATGCGAATGTTTGTTTGAATGTATGTCCAGAATGGGGGTATAAATCTCGCTGAAATTTAGCACACATATAGAACATAGTGTGGAAGAGCACATAGGCTACTATTTTCTATTTTATTTTAATTTCGCGCGGATGGAGTCTCGGGCGGCAACTAGTTATAAACACAGTAAAATACCAATTTGAGACACTATTTGTGTTTCCTTCATTCCTCTTTACATAATTAAGTTATACTTACGAATATTTCTTCTCTCCGGTGTGTGTGAGCATATGGTTGGCCAACACGTACGAGTATGTAAAGGCCTTGCCACACAGAGAGCATTGGTATGGACGGAGACCCATGTGCAACCTGGTAAAAATAACACAATATTATTGGACATCGGATTATATTAGAAACTAGGAATTAAAAAATCTAGTAATAAATATAGACTTCCTGATCCGGGGAAAGAGTAGCTTCCTTTCTGGAGCTACATATACAGGCTACGTGATCCCGGAAATGTATACAATTCTCATGGGATAATTTTATTTAACATATTGATTTAATAATTCTGCTATGAGTCAACATATCTTATTGAAATTTGGTTCAAATATAGAACTCATACAAATGAGATATTTTTCACTTATCATTATTTTTTAATTCTACGCCAATCAAAAGTTTTTTTTGTATACTTGCCTCTCATGCTTCTGTCGGCTACCAAAGTCTCCGAAACGGCGGTCGCAGACGCGGCACTTGTAGGGACGCACGCCTGTATGTCGCATCATGTGTCGGCGTAGCTCCATGTTTAGTACACATGCGTAGCCGCACACGCTGCAATGTTATGTATTGAATGTTTGGAAGAAAATCCGACACTGTGCCGGTGTACTGGCGCAACACTAGCCTTACTAAAATGTCAATGTTTATGTCCCCTCACTACATCTGACACTTGACTTTGTAATGAAAGCGCGCCATTGGCGCTAAATAATTCTAACTAATAAAGTGTAAAAGTATATACCTGCATACAAATGGTTTGATGCCCAAATGACGTCGTATATGCGCTTGTAGAGATGCATTCGATGTGAACGACGCACCGCACGTCTCGCACGTGTGGCTAAAACAGTTATATTACTTTATAATATTAACTTGTTAATTTAATTTATTGCAAACTAAGATATTTATTATATTTGATTGCTAAATCTCTCGGCAACCTGCCCTTATCCCTATTCAGGGTGGGCACAGTATGTACTACTCCTCCATACATCTCTATCGGCCGTCATATATGAATTAACCCCCCTTCCTTCACATATCCTCTTTCACACAATCCATCCATACTCTTAAATCATTATTATTGAAAAAAAAAATTGTTACTAGAAATATCATTCATGTTAGAGCATTCATAAATAAAGACATGATATAAATATGAATCTAGCCGTAAACATATGGATAGCTGAACAGATCTCGATGAAATTTGGCATACATATAGAACATACTCTGTAAGACCACATAAGTTATCATGTTTTTTTTTTTAATTCCGCGAGGACGGAGTCACAGGCGGCAGCTAGTAAAGTAAATAAAAATGTGCAGAACTTACGTCTTTTCATAATTATATTTCTTCTTTTGCATATAAGATCTCTTCTTCTTGGGCTTAGGATTCAGTATATGATCAGGTATAGGCTCGGAGAATGCCAGTATTGTCTCCTTTAGAAGCACATCCTCACCATCTTGTGTCTTTTCCTTGACCGGCTCAATATGTACTTTGGGCGGTCTACCGCGACGTCGTGGTGCAGGCTGCTAAACAATATCATCAGCTTACTATACATCCCCACTAAGGGGCTCGGAGCCTACCCTAAGTCAGTGGTGTCATAGTCAACCACACTGGCCCAGTGCGGGTTGACTTCACACATATCTTTAAATTCCTTGCAGATATGTGCAGGTTGCATTAAAATGTTTTCCTTTACCAAAAGAACATCGGATAGATCTAATAAAATGTAATAAAGTCATGGTGGGATTCGAAGTCAGGACCTGCAGACCCGGGCGCTGGACAGAAAAGGGCGCAATAGGGCTCACATAACAAATGTTGAAGGGCCTAACACATATGCAAAAAAGAGAGCTGTAAAAATCTAGCCCAGAATGCTTGTAGAGGTAAATCTGAGTTCCAGTTTCTATTCTTTATAATTAAAAAAATAACTTTTATTGAATACTTTGTCTAGTATATTCACAACTAATATTAGTATCGTAGCTTTATGTTTATTTGCAATAAATATTTACCTCCTTTTTAGTTTCAGGTTCAGATTCTGCTTCTTCAGCGGGTATAAAGTCCGGGTCACTGTTGTCATAATCTTTAAAAAATAAAACAAAATACTGCAGACTTTACTAAAATACATAAATTATGTAAAGAAAATAATGTGAATTCTATCATATTTAAATTCACTTAATAAATAAAGTGATATTTCATCATAATATAGATAGGTAATGTTTTAGTCCAGAATTGTATAAATGTTTTCAAATATGTTAGCAGTTCAGAACTTCATACAAATCACGAGCTCACACAATGTTAGGCATAGCATGATGTGGGGGGAGGGCACTGTGTGCTGATCTTGGGCCACCAAGATATTTGAAAAGTGTTATACAAATATATGATTCATGAAAAGTTAATTTATAATGGTTACTTGATATATTTAGTGTATAACATACGATCTCCTTCAAAAGCCTCTTCCTCATCCAGCGGTTCTTCTTTAAGTTCAAATGTTCCTGATGCCAACAGTGAAGTAAGGGACTGCGGTTCTTTTTCATTTTCCTTCTGCTTCTTGCGGGTGTACGGAGAAATGTCTAAAACAAATAATTACCTTATAATTCACTGTACACTGTCTACCGCACTCAGTTGTTTAATGATAAAATAAATTTCTATTAGAACAGTTTATATTTCTCATCAATGAATTTTAAGAGGCTCCATTGAACTCTAAATTTGTCTTCATATAGGTCTTTGCTCTATTGCCTTAAAAACCCCAACCATAAAAATTTTTGTCTTCCCAAAAATACTTAAAAATAGCCACTCATAAGGAAAATACTGGCAGTATCTTAGAAACCTCACATACAGGGACTACTTAAAAACATATGATAAGAAAGTTTCCTTCTAGTGGCTTGCTAACTGAAAATATGGCATAATGTCATAATGATAGGTACCAATTTGTCCTTGCTCATTCGGATACTTCCTTGGCCGCCCCCTTTTTCTAGGGCCCGGGGATTTAGTAACAACAGTGGTAGTTGGTGTTTTTGTAAGAGTTCTTGTCCATTGCGCCTGTGGATCATGCTCTACTGGAAGATCATATTGTAGAAGTAATCCATTCTCTTGCTTTATTGTAATTGTTTCAGTTTCACTGGCTGGAAAGAATTTTATGCAATGAAAAAAAATAAAGAGTAAGTTATATGTTGCCTTTTATATTTTGGGCTTATATACATAAATTTATACAAATTGCTGAAGAGGAAAATTGCTAAGTTACAATTTGCGTCGTAATAGAAGTAAGAAATAACTAACCTTCTTTCTTGGGCTCAGAAACCTCAGCCTGGCTCTTCATAAATTCTTCGAGACATTCTTTCAAAGTATCCGTCGATGCAATACATTGTTGTTTGAATTGATAAGCAAACGTTAAGCGATCCACGCAATTCAAACATATTAGCGTCGGTAATATGTCCTTTTTAGTAACCTAAAAGTGTTAAAAAGATTTTGGAAAATCATCAATATAATCAAAAAATTGAATCTGGGATGTCAGCAGAAAATCAGCGAGACATTATAAATAAAACAATATAGCAACATTATTGTACGAAAAAATTATAGGGTGGCCATCGCAACCATTTTGTGTGGCAATTTTTCCATACCTCAATACCGCAGCAGTACAAATACTTGTCAGCAAGTTGCTCATTATTTTCGTCCCAATCAAAGAGGGATACCATATCACCAGTTTCTAAACATACTCGACAAGTTAATTGCCAATCCATGTTTCTAAATACATCAAAGGAAAACGAAAAATTAGTATAAAATACGCTAAAATAATCATTTAATGAAACCGGAAATTTCGATTGACCAACATAATGAAACTGAAAAAAGCGTCATTGTCGTTTCGTTTCATGCAAAAGTTCCAATAGCAAAGGTGTTTACTAGTCCTCAAGTCAATGAATGTTAAATCGTCTTACCAATAAAATTATTAATCATTATTGTCCCTTAAAAAAATCAATATTAAACCTTGAGGATTTTTCCGAAAAACCCTTTTTTGGAGTCTACTCATTGGTGTCTTGATCAGATCTTGGAAAAGTATGTTAAATGACATATTAGCTTTCCATTAAATCGCTATTATATTTAGAAAGTATTTTATTTCAATTTAAAATATCTTTGAGGTAACGAAACATAAATGAGGTCACAACTGGTCCCAACTACCAACTTACGAAAAACATCTGTCTGTCTCTGCCCCTTCCCTATTCGATTAAAAAACGTCAAATTGGATACAAATTATAACAACAATAAACACAATGAAATTATTAGCAAAGAAAACTAACGTGATATAAAATTTACTCAAAATGGAATTGTTTAGGTCGGAACTTTATTATATATTTGTACGAAACGAGTCAAGTTTATGGTGGAATCGCGTTACAGGCGCTTTTTCAGTTCGATCAGGTAAATATTTTCCTTTAAACTTTTCCTTAAATGTGATCAATATTTCAAATATTTCCCTTCCATAATTTAGAACAAAGTAATAAAAAATTATGCATAAAGATATTAAAATGTCTCATATTAGGATTACGTCAATACACATTTTTATTTAATTTTCAGCATGGGATCTCTCAGATATCGAGGACATAGAATGTCTTGGAATAACGGAAGGTATAATAGGCAAAGTAGAACATTCCACAATATATGAACCCCGCTTAATGATAATTAAAGAGAGTGTACCAGTTGGCCAAATTTATTTCCATCATACTATTTATAAAATAAAATCGATATGTTTCTTAAACATGGGCGTTGCGAACCAAGAGATGGACTTGTGTCCATGTACAAAACATAATTCAAGTAGTTCAATGCAAAGCTCAAATAAAACAGCTAATAAAAAGATGGGTAGTCGCTTGTTTGAAAATTCTGCATTCCTGAATAAGACTGTGGGTGCTGTGAAGAATGTGAGCAACACTATAAAGACCACTACACAACATGCGGCTACACAGGTAAATTATAGCTTTCTTTTTATTGTTATAAACATCAAGGTTTATATACTCCCTAAACTAGAGTATAAGCAAGGAACTAAAGTGAATTTGTTGTGATTTTTTTCCTAACAAAATTATCCTTCAATTGCTAATGTAGTTACTCTGTCATTGCCATGGTTTTTACTGTGTATTTATTAAATTATTTAGTAGATTCTACATGAAACCTAAATATACATCATGATTAATAATTTATATCTATTGAACTATGTATGTAGTTTAAGTTGCGATATAAAAACTATCTTTTCAACAGGTAAAACAAACAGTCAAAAAGCAACGGGATCCAAAACTAGCTGAGCGCTTTGAGAAACGTCTAACCGATGAATTACATAACATATTCGATGACGCCGAAAGTTTTTACTATTCTCGTACCTTAGATATTACTAACAGTCTGCAGCGACAGTATGAAATCGAGAAAATTCTGGAAAGTGAGGAATGTGAAGGGAAAACAGTAACAGATATCACGAGGTGGTGGAAGCATGTCGATGATAGATTCTTCTGGAATAAACACATGTTGAAGGATATCATCGCTTTGGATGTGAGTTTATTATTGCAATCATATATATGGAATTTGAAGTATTAATTAGGTTTCTCCTGCCAAAACATTTATTACTGATAGATATATTTATTACTGAACAATAATAAGGGCTTTGCCTCCATAAAAATCGATTTTTTTTTTTAAATAAATACCTGTCAAAAAAAACTATATACATAAGCTGGACCATAAAATAATTATAGTGTCTGTATATTTGTCAAAGTAAAAAAAAAATTATATTTAAAAATTGTAAAAAATAATGGGACCTATCTGCAAGCAAAACTATTCGATCAAAAAAATAATTTCAAAATCGGGGCACCAGGGGTGGAGTTACGCGATAACATACATAAAAAAACATACAGGCGAATTGATAACCTCCTTATTTTTGAAGTCGCCTAAAAATATTGAGATGCTCGGATAGAATAAAAAAAAAATGTTTACAGTAAAAAAAAATTGTAATTGCAATTTAACAGATTAAATTATTTCAGAGTCCACAATGTGATGAATGGATCCTACCGGTAATTCAAGGTTATGTGCACTTAGCACAGATCGCTGTGGACGCAGACAGCAACCCTCTCAATGTTGAATCTCTGGCTAGTGGGAACACATGTGATGATACTTTCACATTAGGTCTTATATCTAGACGTTCTAGGTATCAAGCTGGAACTAGGTATGTATTTTTTAGCACAAAAAATTTCCACTTCAGTAATGTTAAAATAAAAAAAATGATTAGGTGCAAAAAATAGTATCAATTTCTTTGAAAATATTATTATTGTTTTGGTTTGTACAGAACTTTTTTTTTTTCTTTTATTTACAAAATGAAATCGACAATTTTTCTGGTTCATGTTTGAAATATAAAATTTTCGTTAAGTTTACCAATTGTCGTGTATCAGTTGTCAGATTACAAACTGACTGAATCTGTAGGTACAACCGTCGTGGCATCGAGCCCGGAGGCAAAGTGGCGAATTACGTGGAAACAGAACAAATAGTGTCCATTATATGTACGGACAGCATTCATAGGGCATCCTTCCTGCAGGTAACTTTATACTAATTGCCTTTCATTCATTCTTCCGCGCGGAATAAAAAAAAACTTAATTAGTAGTCGATATGTTCTTTCAGACTATGTTCTACATCTATGTCAAATTTCAGCGAGATCTGTTCAGCTATTATTGAAGACGAAACTGTTAAAATTGAAACAAGGTTACAAAATATTGCCATCTCTTTTATTCCCTTAACTATAACAGAGAAAACACAATAAAAAAAAGAGATGGAATATAAATCCACCGTTACGCGAATTTATTTCGAAACGTTAATCGGACCGTTTTAGTTAATTAACAGTTATATTCGAGTTGTCAAGGTTGGTACATCCGTAACGAAAGTGACCGTTAGATACATCAAAGCCGAAAAACACGCGCTGTAGAGTTTTTACTTCACTCATTTGAATTAAACGTATTCAAAATTGAAAATAACGGGTAAAATTCTAACATATTGAAATACATTTTTTCAAAAAACATAATAAGGAAGGAAAATCTATCTTATTTCTTGTTATGTTATTAATATTATTAATGCGAATGCTTTGATGGATGTTTGTTAGAAGGTATCTCCAGAATGGATGCGTAAATATCGATGAAATTTGACATAGATGTAGAACATAGTCTGGAAGAACACATAGGCTCTTAATTAAGATGTTAATTTAAAAAAAAGTAGTTATTAAGATATAATTAAATTCATTGATAACACAAACACTAGAAAACAGTGCTATTCTCGCGCAATTTATTGCCTCGCACAACCGCGATGTGGTATGGTCTGTCCTCGGCAGTATTTCCAAACCAATATGATTTAGGGACCTTCAAGAAGCGAGCATACCATTTCCTTAAAGGCCGGCAACGCATCTGCAGTTCCTCTGGTGTTGCAGTTGTCCATGGATGTCGTTGATCACCCCGGTCTTTCCGCCGCTTGTTTGCCTCCTTCTCTTATACAAAAGAATGTGACCTTTATTTGATACATTAAAGTATTAGAAAAAAGTCGATAAATACGTAATATAGAAAATTTGTTTCACTAAACGAAGATAACTTTAACACTTTAGCTGCCAGAATGATTATTCGAAAAACAAATTAATTTTTTTTTAATTTTGTCCATAACCATTTGAAAACTCCTAAAAATATAGTAATACCTTATTTACATTGCTCGTATACTTATTATTTACATATGAATGGAAGTATGGCTTGTCGGACACATAGTCCGACATGGCAGCTAACGTGTTAATAGTAACAATGAGGTTATACAAAGTTAACTAAAAACTCCAATTTTCTATATGACATTCATATTTCGTGGAAATTGGACATTCATATGATAAATGTAACATTTTGAAAGTTTTCTGGCAGCTTGCCGACTTGACCTAAAAACATTGGCTCTAATCAATATTGAATCCGAGAGATAACAGCCACTTCAAATATAAAAGCTCTTAGACAAAAGAGCAATTCTAAAAGAGAAAATGGAAAATAAAATGTTACGTCATAATTCAGTAGACAATTATTTTTATAGTAAGAGTAATATTTTATAAATATTATGGTAAAACTAGCTGTCGCCCGCGACTCAGTCCGCAAGGAATTAAGAAAAAAATTAATTAGTAGCCTATGTGCTTTTATGTCAAGTTTCAGTAACATCCATACAGCCGTTCTGGAGATAACTTCAAACAAACATCCATCCATCTAAACATTCGCATT